CTAACAAATCTTGTTCTTGAAGAATTAATCTTTTATTACAATTAATATCAAATACTTGACAAATTATTACTTTATATATTATACAGAAATTTGATTTTTCTTATTATAGAGATATTAAATATCTAATATTAAAAACTCTTTTAGATGATATGATTTCTTTAATTCTTAATATTTATTTTTAGATTAGGTGATTGAATATATTGAGACTTGTGTGAGAATATGATGTTTATTTATTTGATTAAAATGAAGAAATTATAATAAAATACTACTATTTTTTTTCCAGATGTTTGATATTAGAAAAGTATTAATTATTCTATTCTTGAAATTTTAGAAAAGCATATTGTGATATTTAGTAATTATTTAATAGAAAATTATTATTTGCTAATTTATCAATAAACAAGAAAAATAGATATATCTAAATAACTTTCAAGAATGACTTATATTATCAATTATCTTTATTATGATAATATATTTCAGAGTATATTTATTTCATCAATAATATATTCTTATTGTAAAGAAAATCTAATAAATTTAATTAACAAAGTATTTATTTTTCTTCTAGAACTGTTTATTGATATTAAAAATAATACTAGAAAAAGTAAATAGACAAAATATGACAAAAATAAAATTTTATATCATCTTATAATTCTTAATATAGATATAGATCAATAATATTTACTAATAGCATTCAATTCAGAATACACTTTATTTGATCTATCAGAAAAATATCATCTTTAGAATTCTTGTAAAATATTGTAATTAACTTCTAATCAGTCTATTTCACTTTCATATAGTCATATTTATTATTAATATTACTTGCAATATCTTGAATATAAATATTTTTATTATTTAAAGTATATTAAAAATAAAATTAATTATAATATAAAATTTATTATTAGCAGAATCACAGATATAAGTATGAGTAAAGATGATTCTGAGATTGATCTTAGTCAAGAAAATAAGATTTAATCAATAAATAATGATAATAAAATTGAAAACTTATTAAAGTAATTACTATTTAATCTAAAAATCATAAATAGTTTCAAATTAGCATTTGAAATATTTATAAAATAAATATATCTTGATTAGTCAATCATATTAAAGTTTATATGAAATTAGAATTAATCAATCATATAAATATTTGATATATTATAACTAATAAAATAATCTTATAATTATATATTATTCTGATAAATATTATATATAAAGTTATTAACTTATCATGAAATAATCTTTTCAAGAGATATCAAAAATAATAATAGTATCAAAAATATATTATAATAAATTAATAAGTGAATTTTCACTTGAATTCATCTTAATAATATTGAATTAGGAGAGATTAAATTAATTAAAGAGTAAAAAAAAATTAAATTATACTTTCAATAATAATAAAGATTTTTAAGATCTATATCAATATTTACAAATATTATCTTAATAAAAAGATAATTAAATAATGAAAGAATAAAATAAATCAAGAAAATTATAAAGATCAATTAGTGAAATTATTAATAATTAATATAATTCAAGATTTAAAATAATTAAATAGTAAAATTATTATTAATCAAAGAAGATTATAACTAAAAAAAAAGGTAAAATAGTAAAATAACTAATTAAAAAGATATGATTTATTTATAGTAAGATCTTTTATTCTCAAATTAAATAAAACAAATAAAATAAAAAATATAACTTATTTACTCTCAAAATAATATCAAAAATCAAAAATTAATATAATGTTATAATTCAAATCAAAATTAATTTTGTATGGTTAAAGAAATGAAAAAAAGATACTAGTATAATTAGAAAAGAAATCTTTTAAAAAGATTACTATTATTATGATAATAAGCTTTTTAATTATATTTTTCAAATAATTCAATTCAAAACTATTTATTTCAAGCTGGGATAGCAGATTTTTTTATATATTTTACAAATATATAAATTATTATAGTTTTACTAATTAATACTATCTAAATATATATATTATTATAAAGAACTAATATTTTACTATTATAATATTAAAAATATTTGAATTATATTTTTATAAATATTTTTATATAAATATTTTTGCAAATATTTATATAAATATTTTTATGAATATTTTTATAGATATTTTTATAAATATTTTGCTAATCTTCAAAATATTGATATTTGAAATATTATTATTCTACTAATAATTAAAAATAATCTTCAAATATAATATTCTATTATATACATAAAAAGTATATTATATGTAATCCAAAAATGTAATCTCAAAAAAAGAAGATAAGATATAATATTTAAAAATAAAAGTGTAATAATATTATAATTAATTATAAATATATCTGAACTAAAGAAGAAGAATTTAAAATTAAAATTATTTTAGATAAAAAAATCTTTTATAATAAAACTTAATACTTAATAAAATAACTAGATTATTCTTTATATAATACTATTTAAGAATCTGTTAAAAATTTATAAAATACTTAAGAATTTATCAGATAATTTGAACTATTATATAAATAATAAAAATATTTATTCTTAAGAGAGAAGATATATAATAAATCTAGAATAATTAAAGATTAATAATTATTTTACAGATTATTAAGCTGTAATACTATATTATATATTATATTATATATAATATCATAATTACTTACTTATTAAGTATTATATAAGATAAGCTAATTATTAATTATCTTTCTAAATAAAATTTCTTTTCTTTTTTGTTTATAATATTTAACTAGTAATTTTCTATTTTTCTATTTATTATTTATAATTCTTATTTTATATATTTAGTTAATAATAAGTATCTTTTAGAGATACAATTAAATAAGTATTTATATATTAATAATTCTATACTTTTAAATTTATTATTTAAAGTCACTTTCTTTTCTATTCTAAATTTCTTAACTTTATTTTAATATTAATAAAATAAATATAAGTTTATATAATTGAACTAAAATCTATTTATCTTTAACTTGACTTCTGTGTAATTTCTTGTCAAATATATATATATATATATACATATATATAACTAGAAAATTTCAATTAGATTGCTTAATTTAAGTTTAATTTAGAATATTATCATGAATATACTTATTATTATCAGTATATTATTTGAATAGAAATTATGATTATGAATTTGCATAATATTTTATTATATTATTTTATAATCTTCTTGCTTATTCAAACTAAATGAACACAAAATAAAATTTGTTAAGCAATTACATAAAAATTTAAGAAAATAAATAATCTTTATAAAAAATATTAAATTATCAAAACTTTAAAGAACTTTTGCTCAGCTTCTAATTTAATATCAGTCACAAAAAATCTGTTCTAATTGAGTTTAATATGAGAGTATAAACAAATTTGATCTATATAATATATTGAAAATCTCATTGTCATCAATATATAATAATCATCCATCTTTATTATCAAAAGACTAAAATTTTGATCTTCATGTAATGCTGCAAAATTATACTCATATTAATTCTTATAAATGAATTAATACTTATCTTTACTAAAAGACTATTTCAATTGTTCACTTTTTTAGTTATTCATATAAAGCCTCTTTTTGACGAAAATTTTGTGACACAGTATATATATAACATGCACTTTGGTATGATTTTCATAAAAGTCTGAATCCCAATTTCATACATAATATGAAGTTATTTTCAAATGGGATATGAAAAGGATAGTTAAGATAATGATATAACAAAAGTTGAACATGTTGCAAAAGGTTTTTTCGTTGTACATGTACTAATGAAAGAGAAATAAGGGTACATTTCTGAGAAGGTATTTCTTATCACCCTTATCTCAAATTGCATTCAGATTTGCATTGAAGCCGAGAGAATGCACGCCGTATGAAAATATTTTGAGAGTATCAAGACCTGTTTATAAGAATAAAATTTTAGTATGATTGTTAAAAAAAAACGCGGGACGTAATATAGCAATTACAAACATAAAAATCATGTGATTAAATTCACCAACCTTCCAATTATTCAACGAAATTTGAGCAGCCGAATTTATTCAGGATATTTTTAAGGAAAATATTATCAATTTAAAACTACGTCCTTTAAAATGGAAAATTTTGGTCTTATTTTAACATTAATTGCAAGCGAGATATCGATATGTCAAACTGTCCAAGTTGAAGCGAATTATAAGTACTTTTGGTGAACTTATTAATATTATTATTTCCTAATTGAAACAATTTCAACATTATTGCTGAAATATTAATGAATTGATTGATATAAAAGAGCCCAATCGGTGCTAGTTACAAGTTTGCGATGCAGCATTTGTGGATTTGAAACTGAACTTGATAAAAGATGAAATAATTTTATTCTTTCTAACAAACATGTTGAAAAGCGTCCTACATGTTGAAGACTTATTAAATTACCAATGATTTGAATGGTTTTCTTGTGAATTATTTGGCAGAATTAAGTTTATAGACAAAAGAGGATTTGGTTCTGTATCAAAAGTTAAATGAAATTTAAATTCACGAAACACGTTGGGCGTTACAATAAAGCCAGTCATTTTTATTGGAGTTTGGTCTACCGAACTTATAAAATTACGGGCTTATAAAATTTTTTTATAAGTCCAGTAGGACCAGTTGTCCAGCACTGCCGCGAAGACATTTAATGAATACACAATAAAATTTGAAAGCATCAACACAAACTAAAAGAAGCTTTCACTAATAAAATTGACTCATAAATATAATACAAATGCATATATTAAAGAAACATTTGGATGTGAAAAAAATTTCAAAAGACAAATGCTTACTAATAGAACTTGAGTTCATTATGACTTGTATATATTTTCCGAGATTAAAGATAATTCCGTATTCTTCAAAATTAGCGTTGGTATTTGTTTTGTTATTTTTATCGTTATCGTTAGACTGCGCTACCGCTATCGCTATAGTATAACGATAAACACAAAAACTGATCGTAATCGTTACATAATAACTTTTTCAAAACGAAATTAATTTATTCATTAACAAATTTATAATCAAAGTATTACTACTTTTCTTAGAACAAAAATTGTAGTATATGTAAAACGAATATAAGCAAAGACGTATTTTCAATGGATGAAATGAAAACAGAAGCTCCATTATAACTAGAAGTTTTGACCTCAGGATCCCCTTTTAACTCTTTTGAATCATTCAATAGTGGAGGAGAATCAGTAATGAATTTAAACACAGTTGCATTGGTGTCATTACGTCCTAAAGATCTTTTAATGAAAAAATGTTAATACTTTAAAAAATTTTCACCGTAAATTACCAAAACTTAATTTACATACCCTAAGTCCCAATTAACTTCAATGGATCTCAACATCGAGTAATGATCATACGGTGTGTTATCTGTTTTTCCACGCAACGAAGGATCAATCGCCGATCCAAGCAATAACGTGTATATTTGATTGGTATCGTTGTAGGATTCTGATTCATCGAATGTGATTACGATTAATGTCCTGTTATCGAAAAAGTTGGGATTTTTGAGTTTTGGGTTTAGGAATTTTGAAAAGTAAGCGCTTGCGAATGTAATGTTTGTGTCATGTGCGTCGTTATCCTAGTATTATCGTTATGTTAAAAAGCGATGGATTAGTAATATATATATATATACATATCTCGAAATTATGTTAAAAAAAGCAAGGATTTATACCAAATTGGGAGTATAAAACATATATTGGGGCAAGTTATTCTGACTAATGTCTACGTCTAACTCTGGAGCTGGCACAACTCTGGCACATCGTGCTGGGACACCTCTATTTGAGTATCACAAAGAATGAAACATCGAATATTATTTATAATTATACAGCATAAAAAGCATATATATGTAATAGGTGATGAGACCTACGAAATACTTAGAAACGACATGAATGGGTTATGTCTTTCTGCATATTTTCCATCTGGGGAATAATATTCCTTGTAACAATTTCCTGGATACTGAAATGAACCAAATTCATAAGATTAGAATGATGAATGAATTCATATAAAAAGTACGTACATTTTCTTGGTATGATTTCCAAGTGATTCCTTTTGGTTCAAACAAATCTAAATAAAAGCGTCAAAAAGACGTTTAATTATCATCTTTTATCAGATTTGAACGATGAAGAAATTTACCGATGAGAGTGGTGCTATTCAAATCCAGCCTCGTGTATTGTTGGTCTTTTTCGAATGTTTGTGCCGAAATCAATGCCAGATAATTAGGTTCAGATGGGTGAGCAATCTTTATATTATTACGTAATAATTTACAATCTTGAAATTATTATGTAAAAAAAAAGCATAAAGAAAACACAGACACTTTACCGCATGATAATTAGTAAAAAAGAGTCCTTGTTCAGTCAAACTCTTAAAATAAGGATCCGCAATCGCATCTTTTATTCAAATTCAAACATAAGTTTATCCGATGATTTCGTTAACAATCATTAATTTTAGATACACACCTTCATAATTAGTATTCTCGAAAATAATAAAAAACAAACGATCGAATGCGCGACCCTTTACAAATTTAGAAGTATCAGAAACATTCGAGTTCACCGCAATTGATTGACTAAATGTTATAATACAAAGTAAAAGTAGACTCGAAGGAAATAAAGAGTTAACGAAATTCATCTTTCGGTGTTTTTGACTTAACGAGATGAAAGAAATGATAAAAAAATGACGAAATTCAAAAATATTGTGCTGTTTAATTCATCCAATCATAACATTGTAAAGTATCATGTGCAGTGAGTACATTCCTCTTTCACATTCAAATCTGTATTTAATGTCGCACGTAACGAAATTAACGGTTTATGGTACATGTACTAAAGGGAACTTTACATGGGATATTTTAACGTTAAGGGGGTACCCAGCACTAGTACTACATGCACATGTAGTAGTTAGTAGATGTTGAATACAATATACGCAAATCACACAGAAATGACTACTTGGCTATAACCATTTTTGTACCCATTCACGAGCTTCCGCCAAAAGATTTTCAACCTTCTTTTCTCCTCCACTTTCACCAACCAAATTGATTAATGCGCGTTCCGCCTTTTCATAACATAATTCCCATTCTTCTTTAAACTCTTTCATTACAATCTCCAAATAAGCCATTGCCACAGCTGTCGTCCACTCTAAATTATCATCTCTCTTTGAATCATTTCCAGAAAATAGATTCGAAAAATTAGAGTCTTTTGCAACGAACTTTCCATCAAAAGTTTGCAATTTTAGGAATGCGTATAATGTATCAATAGTTGGTGCCTTTATGTCAAATGACGGTGATGGTAATGGTTCTTCTTGCCTTCGAATTTGTTGTGCTGAAAATAACATTGGAGGCGATGATAATAAATTTAAAAGATTAACTGGCGTTGATGGAGGTGGTGGAGGTGCTGGTGAACTAAACGAATATGCACATTCTTCACTAACACTAGATGAATCACAAAAATCACTATATAGACCAATAGCACCACCACCAGAACTAGCTTTACGAAGTCCTATTATAAAGACGAATTGAAATTATTAGATTAAGCATTGAAAAAGCTTGAAAAGTAAAATTCTAAACTCACTTAATGGACTGCTGGACACACATGCCATAGTTGTCATAGCATTCATAGCTTGAACTGGAACTTCTCTTTTTTGCTTAAGTGTTTCGCTTCTAGCAATTTCAGATTTAGTTTTCTCGTCTATTGCTAGAAAACTAAGGAAACATTGGATAATTTAATATTCAACATAAAAAAATCTTCGAATCTTTTTTAGAAAAATTACCTGGTATATCTCGACGTAAGGTTGAAAGTAATACCTAATTTTTATAATTTCTTAATAAATTTATTAAAAACAAATTTCGAATTTTTAAAATAGAATGAACTTTACCAAGATTAATAATTTGTTCTTTGACAAGTTCACCGGGAGTTTTATTTTTTCCTTCAGACTCCGTATGCAGAAAAGAGGTGCCTTCTTCTAAATCCTGAATTAATTTCCGAGCAGCCAATGTATGTATTTTTGATCCCTGAAGCGTTACTGGATCTACGTTAACGTCAAGCTTAATCGGGCCATCCAAGGATTGTGCCGAGAGAGTTAGAACTTTTTTAGGCTCAACACCTTTCGCCAGAATCGCATAAACTACCACACGCACACCAGAATATATAGCGGGAATAGTATGGGGAGCCTGACGAATTACATCGTTCTCATTTTTTTTCGACGAATTCCAAGGAAATGAAATAATCGACTTATTTTTGGTCTTGTCAATCCATTCGATTTTATAATCGATTAAGGCGCATTTCATTGCGTTCTTCACCATTCCGATAACTTTTTTATCCATACGTTCTTCATCAGTGACAAATTGTGCATAACCATTCCCAGCTCGGGCAATCGACTCTACTAAATGATGCGAGACGCTAGATCCAATTCCTAAAGAGAAGAGTCGAAAGCTTTTCTTTGGGTCGCTGGCAGTTTTCCGGATCAGTTGGACTATTTCTTCGACATTCCATACTTCACCATCTGTTAGTAAGAAAACAGAGGTTGGCATATCACTACGAGCAGTCTTAACTACCCATTCGAGAACATTTTTTATTTCTGTTCCACCATAGTCGGCGTCCATACTTTCAGCATGGGATATGGCGAGGGAAAATGTCTTTTCGGAATAGCGTTCACTTTCTTTGAATAGAGAATCAAATTCACTTCCAAAGGAAACGATATTGAAAAGACAGTTTTCGGGAAGCGAGCGAAGAATTAATTGAAGAGCCTGCGATGCTTTACGAATTGGTCCATCAGACATTGAACCTGACCTATAAGAATTTAATTTTGATATTTTAATTTAATTTTGATATTTTAATTCAAATTACCAACTTGTTAATAAGCATATGCTAAATAATACCTGTCAACTACAAATATCATTTCGCTCATTTTCGCCGAACTCGAAGAAAATTTCGGGACCAACGTCAACATAACAGCATTTGTTTCCGTCTTTGAATTGTATTCAATAAATGCTCTATATTAGTGGAACCAAATTAGAAATACGTATATATTTTCTAAAAAGTTGCAATAAAAAAAAATATTTACCTTGGTTCATCCAATCCATTACTTTTTACCACTAAAATAAAGTCTCTTTCCAAATAGGTAATTTCTTCAGCCAGACTAATTCTCGAAACTTTAGCATCACCGTTAATATTTAATTCGGTGGAAATCTTATGAGAAGGAGATTCTATACTCGTAATTGCATCCGTCATTCTACACGTGATTGAAAGTCCTAATGTATATTTTGCAATTGCGGTGCTAACATAACTTGGATTTTCCGCGGTTACTATTTTATCTGCATCCGTTGACTTTTCAGAAAAATTCTCAGGAGCGTATCGAGGAGAAACAACTGTTGGCAGGACAAACCGAATTTTTTCGGATTCTGCATCGTGTTTCAGTTCTGTAACGTAAGTGATCCTGATGATTATTGTCTGACCAGAAGATATGTTACCGAGAGAGCATTGGAAAACGTCGGGAAGTGTTTCCTCAAGAAGATACGCTCCTTGTCCTCGCTTATGAAAAAACGAAATTTATCAATATCAAAACGCAATGATTTTAATAACAGAAAATGAAAAAGACATTTTACCAAGACTGCTTTTTCGTATTCTTTAGCCGCTTCGGTTGATCCTTTTACGATTCCTTTGATAATCCGTCCATCGTCAAGTTCGGCTTCGAAGCCACAAACAGCTGCCGCTTCGTGAATTGGAAATTTGTAGAAAGCGTCGATCGTATTCTTTTCAACATTTTTATATGTCTGTGAAATTTTAACTAAGTTTCCAAAGATGAATATTATATTTAAATGATCTTCAATTCGTCAATTAGATCGATAGAAAGATTTTATATACCTTCAGCAATCATGTCGACAACTGCACAAAATTTAGAATAAAAAGGTTTAAATTTGTAAATTGTGAAATAATAATTCGCCGATAATTAATTACCATTCGCTTCAACTTGGACGTTTTGCAATGGCACTGGCGTGTTGGTAATTTTTGATCCATCGTTTGTAATTGGTATGAAAACGAGACCAAAGATTTCCATTTTCTCATGAATTGCTCAAAAAATCTGATTTTTGTAAAGAATTAGGCGTACAGGTGTATTTATAATCGTTTACATGTTATAATTGTACACAGTTACATAGTGTGAGAATTATGCAAAACATTCTGATTGTAGTACACAATTGTAATTGTCGAATTTTCTATAACATGTGCTCGTTAAAAACATTTATGTCGATTGATGTAACGATAATCATTGCAGCCTATGATTAATATGATTGTCGCGGAAAAAATTTTTTCTTGAACGTATAATCTTGGTCAGCCATTTGGCCAAAAATGGCAAATTGTCGAATATCTATTAGACGATGATGATTATCATGATTATCTTAACGTGAGTTTTGACCGGCTACGACTAAATGTCCAGATGGTTGGTGATTTATTAATTCAGCTTGTATTAATATCTTTTGTTCTGCGGAAAAAGAATCTCATAACACCTTAAAATTCGAAAGATAAGGGAGAAGTCAAATGTCATTATATCAATAATTATGCCTACCACTACATATTTTGTTACTGATATTTTTTGTCTTTCGAGATAATGTGGCTTCTTCGCAATCGCCAAAAATTCCTCGTTTTCCCTTAGATCTAAAATATTGTAGGCATGAGTCGTCTCTGAGAAACGATGTATAAAATAAAGCTTTTATTTAGATGCTTGGCATTTGATATCATTTGATTACCGTTACGGTATTTTTAGTATCATTATTATTATTGAACTTCATAGGTTATTTTGTGTTTATGCTAACGTTATTATTATTATTATGAACAATACAAAGTGTTGAATTTTTACAACATTAGATGTAACACAAACATTGTGCGAAAAATCATTGATGTATTCAATTCGCGAAACGTATTAAGGTATTGTACTCCTCTTACAGTACCCGGCGAAAAGAATGGCGGACGGATTTTTTGACATCACACAAGTAATCGATTGAGTTTTTTTTTTTACATAAAAGATAAACATTAACACTATATTTCTCCTTATTAGGTCAATCTTCGTATGGCCTCCTTCTGCATCAATACATGCCTTAACCCGGTTCCGCATGCTATCGATGCACCGAACTAACACATCATTTTCGATATAATCCCATTCCTGCTTAATAACGGCGAGAAAAATCTCTTTTGAGATTTTTTATTTTGCGCCACCATATTCTTAATATTTTTCTCTTTAAAATAGCCCATACATTCTCGATAGGATTGAGATCAGGGCTATACGAAGGCCATAAGGTGGTCGTTAAGAATTTTACGATACAAATGACGATCCAGATTTTCGGTGAACAAATGTATCCCAATTTTTTCCTTAACACTGATTGCTGCCAAATGTGGACTTTGAATGGATGCTTCACCATAGGTGCAACAGGTTTTGCATCCTGAGACCACGCGAGAAGGGTATTACAAAACATCTGAATCGTTGTTTCATCGGAAAAAACAACTTTTTATATCGGGCATGATCACGTGCACAAGACAAGCGATGGTTTTTCGCTTGTTGGGTTAGAAGAGGGACTCTCCTGGGAAGAACTGAAACAAAACCGAGGTTTGTGAGCTCATAATGAATAGTACGTTCACTAACCTCAAGTTCAGAATCATTTTCTTCTAGTTTAGCTTTGAGCTCCGGTACTGTAGTGAAATGATTATGTTTCACAATCATTCCAATATGACAGCTTTTTTGGGGAGCCAACTTCCGAGGGTGACCAGATGAGTGACCAATGGGAATTTTTTCAGTTTTACGCAATAAACTGACATACTGCTCACAGGATCATAAGGGAATGCCTAATCGCTGGGAAATTTCCTTTGAGAGGGGTTGGTGCCATTTTGAGACGTAAAAACAAGGTGTAAACAATACTAAAAGTCATTGTTTACATCTTTTTTTTAAATGGCGTTCCACTGCCTAATTTGGTAATATAAACATTGGTCCAAATCGGAGAGGGCTATAGCAAAAAAGTCAGTGGCATTTCCACCTCCATTCTTTTCGCCGGGTACTGTATATCATATCAACAAAATATTGTATCCACTTATGACCATTCTCCATCATACCGTACACTTGCAAATAAAGTCTGGATTTCATAAAGTAAATCAAACTTTATTAGATAAAATGGTTGAATATAACTCATATTCTGGTATAATAATGCTAATAATGCTTCACGATTTATAATTGCATTACGAGTTGATATAATAATTCAAATTTATAAAGTTTTAAATTCACATTTTCCTTTTAATATGAAACTTTAGGACTTTATCATCACACAGTCACGTCACCCTAAAAATAGTAAACTAATATCCAAATGCAGCTGTTAGGATATTAACTTGAAAATATTTTGTTAGTTGTTTGTATGTACGTGACATTAAGTAAAAGAAGAGTACGCGATTTATTGTAAAAAGTATCCTTATAGTTGTATATGCCGCTAGTCACCAGAATTGTCACTTTTACAAGTCCAAAAATTCTGGTTTTTTGCACTTAGTTCACAAAAAGTTGATTTTTTGTTTTTATAAAACGTAAACTTTTAAAAGTGCCAAATTATCCAATAACCCAAAGAGCGCAATAAAATGAAAAGTACAAAAATATGCTTAAATTTAATTTGAGGATCCCCAATCTCGGAAAGTAAATTTAATCAATCTTTATGAATTGTGTATACATAAAATATCACGTGAACTGAATATTTTTGCATGAGAATAGATAACGATAATAACAAAATTTTTAACGCAATAATTACTAAGATTATCAAAATGTCTAATAACAAATTGAAATAATAGTTGTGAAAAAGAGCAGTACAATTTTCTTTTAATATATTGTTGAATTTTAAAATTAGCTATTTTTATGTAAGCTTTAAAATTATAAATATATATAATCTTGATTTATTATATCTATATTATATTGATTAAATTAGTATTAAGTTATATTTACTATTTATATTTCAAAAAGATATTGCCAAAAATCGAGAAATATCATTTTTTATAAGAAGTTTCTTGGTGAGATTTTATAAATATATTATGGTTCCCTCTTTCAAAATCAATATCATCAAACCTGATAATCTGTTTATAACTAATAAAAATTAATCCATCATATTCATTTTATAATTTAAATCTTTCAAGCTGTCATATAAATATGAGATATTAGATTTTAAATTCAATATAAATAGCATTTATTTTAATATATAATACAAAGTTGTCTTTAGTAATACTAATTAAATTATTCTTTATAATAAATATATTTATAATAATGAGATTTGAACTTTTAGATTTTATTTTTTATAAAATAAAAATATATAGTATATATATATATATATATATATATATGATAAAAGCAAGAAAATATTATCATTAAAAATAAAATTTATGAGTGTACTTCAATATCTATACCTAATCACCATTATAAGTACAAATCATTCTAGATAATGACAGAATAAAAATATATCAATATGGAATACCAGAAGAAAAGAGATTTATAAATCAAAATTCTATTAATTTATGTGACTTCAACTGAATATTTGGAAATGAATCAGTTAACTTAAAAAAGATTAATTACCAGTTAGAATAAATCTCTTCAGACTTAAAATATTCAACCATTTCAGCAGCTAGATCATGTCTATTTTTATTAAATTAGCCTTTTGATATCTATTTACAATCATATCAAGATTTTTTGAAATTCCTATTCCATAATGGTAATATTAAATTGTAGATATTATCACTTTTAAATATTAATCAAATGCTTTATTATCATTTTTGTTTATTTATTTACCATATTCATAATATTGTTCAATTCGAAATTATAAGTGAGAATTATCACTAATTGCTAATTAGGTTCAAATAAGCTAAGTTCTAATTTTTTTATTTCTTTATCTCTTTTATAGCTAAATCTAAAAATAAATTGAGCTAATTATTTTCAAATACTACTGATTTTAAATACCAATTAAATGATTTTTTTATCTTTGATTATTCCTATAACAGAAAGCAAGATTAATTATACTAGAAAATCTCCAGACTCTGCTAATTTTAAATACAATTTGAATGCTTTTTTCATCTTTAATTGTTTCTTTATCATTTTCATAAATGAAAACAAGATTAAATTATGTTTTAGGATCTCTAGACTCTGTTAATTTTTAAATATCATAAGAATATTTTTTTTATCTTCAATTATTTCTTATCAGTTTCATAATAATAAATGATATTAAATTGTGTGTGAAATAAGTCAGACTCTGCTAATTTTAAAAACTATTCTAATGCTTTTTGTTTATCATTTTTGTTCTAATTCTCAATATTATATAATTTAACAATTAAATATTATACTATAACATCTTCTTGAATTGCTATTTGTTAATAATATTATAAAACTTAATCATAATTATTTTTAGTATTCAAATTCATATAATAAATAAAATCAAGAATTATTGAATATTGTACATTATCTCATAAATATTATAAAAACTTTATTTTATTCAAGAATATTTGAGTCTTTTTGAAAATAATTATAGCAAGATTTATTAAATTTTTGTATTATTTTTTATGATATTATCAAAAAAGAAATAATAAATTGTATATATTAATTATTTTTTTGTTATCAGTTTAATTTGTTGCTAATACTGCTAATTCATATTTTGAATTATTTTAAATTTGCTATAGATAAAGAAATACTATCTATTTGTTTATTTAAATTATTATTAATATTTATGTTAATTCTTTTTTTTGATATGTCTTTTTTATTTATATTATTTTAAGTTAAAAATTACAGTTTCACTTTTAATTTATTATTTTTTTTATTATATTTTATTCATAAAAAAGTTTAATTTCTTTTTACTTTATTCTGATTAAAAGATATCAATATATTAGTTCAGTTTAAATTAATTGAAACTAATTAAACCAATCAGAGTAATAATAAAATTTGATTATATATATATATATAGTTATCTTAAAAAATAATATCTGATTTTCAATTATCATAAAACTTAAAATATAATTTTGATTTATTTTTTTATATTATATATAAAAAAAATTATT